AATCAGGGGCCCTTCTTTTGTCTGGACATGGGTGGTTGTTTCTTCACTCTTTTATTCAGCAAATAGTATTCAGGGGTTCACCAAATGCTTCCCGAGGAGCTGCGCAGCTCTACAGCTAGAGAATGAATGACCCAGCCCCACTCCAGATCCATACTTTTCTACCCTGGGCGGTGGCCATGGAGCAAGTGCAGAAGTCTCTTTGGATACTAGCAAACCAGAAGTATCAGTAGGCCTGTTGCCTGGGAAAGGAGAAAGGACCTGGGAAATGGTTTCTAGAAGATAAAATGGTTATCTCCTGAGGGTAGCTCTCAGGGGACAAAAAGAAAGGTGCCAGCAGGTCAGGAAAGAAGGGCCTCTCTTGGCCGGAGGACCAGTGGGAAAGCTGATTCCTTTCCCCTCTGCCCTTGGGTGAGAAGCCCCTGGGGTTTCTTATGTGCTTATTTGTTGGTGATCTGATGCCGTGGAAGTGGAGCTTTTCGGAGGAAAAGATGAACTTGCTGTGATAAAGAACGTAGGGGGTTGGGGGCTCTCAGAAAAAACTGATGAGGCCGTGCTTGTATCTCAGCTGCCAAACTGGGCTGCCGTGATTTAGCAAAGGCTCAGAGTAGAGCAGGACCTGGCCCCGACACTGGCAAGAGCTCTGGTTGGCTCTGTGATGACGTGTGTGCCGTGAGGAAGCAGGGCAGGGAGAGGGGGCAAGTGTAGCAGTCTGGGTACCCAGGTCCGTCCTGTGGAATCCTTACCTGATGAAACTCCGAGAGAGGGAAGGATCTGCTACAGATGCGTAAGCAACCACAGCTGAGGTATGGCTTTCCCTCCTGGGAAGAGAAGGAAGGCAGAGAGACCAGCAAGGTGGTCCAGTGGCAGGCAGAGGAAATGCAGAAATGGAGACGGAGATGTCAAAATGGAAACAGACACAGGAAGAGTTTGAGAGAAAGCTCTGAGAAGTGACAGGTCTCAGTCTGTGGGAGAGGCTGGAGGAGGAGGAAGAGGAGGAGGAGGAGGAGGAAAGGAGCGAGGATGGTGGTGGCTTCTGGACTGTGTACCTAGGTGTGTGCAAGCCATCAGGTGAGACGGACAGCTCCAGTCTTCCCTCTAGTGAGCCAATGGTGACAAAGTGTCTGTTCTTCCCCTACTGCCTCCACCTAGGTGTACTCCTCACCACAGGGAAGGCCTCCATTTTCAAGCCCATCCCTTCAGAGAGACTAAGGGATCCAGATGAGAGAGCTGGTCACTACTTGCTGGGACCTTTTCAAAAGTCCTCTTACCATGGCAAAAAGTCAGCTACAACTTGACCTGTCTGCCTCTTTTGTCTCAGTCCCATGACCCTGGACACCATCCATCATGAGGAATAACTGTGACAGGCAATAGCCACCCAGCCCTAGAGTATGTAGGCCGTGCTCTAAGAACACATTTGGCAGTTCTTGTGATGCTCAGGAAAACACCGAGTCTTTCACTTCCCGGGATGGACCATATGCTCTTGTTTCCAGACCTCTGTACTCAGCCTAGGCCTGTCACCCGACAGACATCTGTTGATCAGCTACTCCTGCTAGGCACTTGGCTAATTGTCAGGACCCAAATATGAGACTTGGGACGTGCCCTCTGTGCACACAAAGCACAGTGAAGGAGATAAGACACAGCAAGTCAGTGCAGTGACAGAGATGTTATGGGGTATGAGGGTAATTGCCGTAATCTAGCTTCCGTTCTTCCCCATCTGGCCACCTGGAGTTTCACTCTTCCAGGAAGTCTGAATCAGCCAGGCTGGGTGAGGTTCTGCTTTTGTGTTTCTGCTGCCTCTACTCTGCCAGGGTCACATACTGACCACTGAGAACAGAGAGCATCTGCCTGGCTACCTCCTCCTTGGCACAGTGAAGCAGATGAAAGTCTAACTCCTCACTGGGCCCAGCATCCAGGTAGCCTGGACATGTGCCCTTGGGATAAATGAAGTTACAGGCTGAGGAATGAAGAACCACAAAGACCAGCATCTCTTACCCCTCCCTGTGTGCCCCTGCTGGACACTTCTGCAATGCTGCTCATCAGAGCCAGCTTAGCCTGTCAGGAACCAGGCCTTGAGGTAACACCTGGCATACTGTTCTTAGTCCCGGTGCAGGGGCAGCCTGGTCAGAAAGGGTGTCACCACAGTGTGGTTCCAGATGGCCCCCAGCTGCAAGCCTGAGGAATGAGCGGCATCCTGCATAGCTCTTAGGTAGAACCCTTGGGCACCTAGGTAGCTAGGGATGGTTTGAGGATGCTTTGGATTTGCTGCTGCCCCTGAGCTATGGGATGTCTTCAGGCTTTGATAGAGAGTTTTGAAATAAATATCAGATGATATCAAACCAGAGGTCTTTGGGGGGAACATTCTGGGAAGTCTTGGGAGGGAGGATCTAGAGATAACTCAAACTGGGCTCTTGGGATCTCTCTGGGTTAATATAGCTATTTCGAGAGCTCTGGATGGGCAATTACGGGGTGAAAATCTTGGGGAAGGACCTGAAATGACTTTCAGTCACAGCACTCTCTCTTAGAGAACACTTGGAAAGTTCTGGCAGCAGCTCCCATTCCTTGCCTCCAAGTCTATCTGAGTTAGTGGTGCCTCTTAAAGCCAGGGCTGGGGCAGAGGGTCTTGGAGGCTAGTGCAAACAGCTTTGGACAAGGGTGGGAATTTCCACTCCTATCTAGAGAGCCATCAACGTTGTGTGCCCTGACCTGGGCCTTTGGCCTCCAAAGGGCAGTGGGAAGGCCGGCCCCAGGGCCAATCCCTGGCCATTAATCCCTCCTGCCAGCCCGAATATCCACCCAGTGTGGTCAGACAAAGGACTGCCCAGCCCAGCTACTGTGTTCCTCCCGCCCCAGGGGCTCCACTCAGACGCTGGGCCGCCTGGAATCCAGGCCCATGAGAAAGGGGCCACCTTCACTGGCCGTCTTATGCCCGGATGCTCAGCCGCATCACGTCCGGCCCAGGGCCTGTGAAAAGAGGGCCCAGCCACGCTGAAAACACGGATTAGCCCTTGGGCCGCCCCCTGACACCAGCTTGCTCTACTCTGGGAAGCAGGCCCAATGGAGAGGGGGTAGGCAGGCACAAAGACCTGGCAAAGTCTGGGTTCTCATCCCTTTGGCCTAGCTCCCATCTCCATCCTTCTCAGAATCAGTATAGCCAACCACACATGCAGGATCATTTATTGAACATATATTATATCCCAGACTATACACATGACCTGGGAAATCTCAGGTATCTACAAAAACAAAACAAAACAAAAACAAAAACAAAAAACTGCAGTCAGCCATAGGATGCGATAACAGCCCATTTCCTCCTTGAAGGCATGACACAGAGGCTCTGGCAGGGGCTTTGTTGGAAAAGGGGAGACGAGTAAGGCTAAGGCTCCATCAATACTGGTTCTGCGTTTGAGTCCAGCTGCAGAGGACACTGTACCTGGCTAGAAAGATGGCTTGCAGCCTCTCTCCTGTCCCCCTGGTTAACACAGGAAAAAACAAACCAACAAAAAACATGCTTCTTACTGAGATTTGCAGCAGTCCAGGCCCTCTGCACTCCCTTACTATGGAGATGCCATTGCTTCCACTTGGCAGGGGAAGAAACAGGTTTGACCAAGAGGTGGCCTTGCTCACATGGCTCTGGGAGCCATGCTCTGCTGCCTCAGTGGCTTGTCTTACCCTGTTCTATGGTGAGCCGTGTGATATGACTGCACTGTCTTGTGTTCTGGGTGGCCTGTGCTGACACAGGACGAAAGGTAGAGAGGGCAGAAGAGCAGGTCTGTTCTGACACAATAGTTCTTGTTTTGTCTGGGACACTCTCCAGATCTGCCTCTTTTTCCTTTTCTGCTTTCTCAGTCCGCCCACCCCATCCACTCAGTGTGTAATTGTCCATTTCTCCACCAGACTAGAGTCTCATTTCTATGGTACCCTGAGCCTTGGCAAACGGCCTGGCTCAGAAGCTCTTGGTGAATGAGGCAGGCTGAACCGAGTCCAGAACTGAAGGAGAAATTGATTTAGGACCTGTGTGGCCTTGGCAGGATGTGGCAGTGGCCTGGGTGTAGGGACTCACTCAGAGGAACGAGGTCTACTTGTTGGGATCTGGAATGTTGATAGGAGAACAGACTGTGGCTGTGTGTGCATGTGTGTGTGTGTGTGTGTGTGTGTGTGTGTGTGTGTGTGTGTGTGTGTGTGTGGTGTATTTAGAGCATGGAATTGAGATGCTTTGAGACATCTGTATGGTGATGTCCAGTGGGCACCTGGATCTGTTGACCAGGAGTTCAGGAGAGAGGCTAGAAGGGAAGTAACTTTGGCAGCTAAAGTGGAGCAAACTGTAATTTATCCTGTAGTCTTTCCTCTGTCGTGTTGCATGTTGTGTAAAGGATGTGTATATGTGTAGGGGTGTGTGCTTGGGGGTGCCCGTGTGTGAAGGTGGAGGACAATCTCGGGTGTCAGTTCCTCACCATCTACAGGGTCTCTTGTTCACCACTGCCTGCTGTAGGCTAGCTGGCCCATCCTCTTCTCTCCGCCTCCTGTCTTGCCATTCAAGGGTCGGGACTACTGGGACACTGCTGAGTCCAGCTTCCTGCGGGTTCTGAGGTTCTGAACCTGGGACTTCACCTTTGCATGTCAAGGGCTTTATTCACCAAGCCACCTCCTCAGCCCTGTTTACTTATTTTTGAGTTGGAGTATCACTGCACAGCCCAGCCTGGCCTTCAAGTGGCCTCAGTCTCTCGGTGCTGGGATCACGTGGGTGCCACCACAAGGCTTCCACCGTAAAGGGATGGGGTTAGAAGGGAGGTGATAGGGCAGTGCTCTGACCACCGGATTTCATTCCTGTCCTGGCCACTATCAGCTGTAGGAGGCGAGGTATGCTACTTAACCTCTCACAGCATTGGACTCTTCATTCAAGAAATGAGGATAATACTACCACCCAGGGAAGCTTATATGCCCGTGAAACACTGTATTTACCGAACACAAAATACTAAACAATGGTGGCTGCGATGCTACCAGCTGAGAGAACAGCTAAGAGGAGAGACCCCGAGCTCCATGTTTGAGTTTGGATTCTGACATTCTAGGCCACAGGCCACCTGGAGCTAGCTTTGGTCACTTTCAGGGGAATAAGGCAGACTCCATCAGAGATGGAGGCCCCAAATTTCTCAAGGGCTGACTGTACACACAAGGCCTTGACAGTAAGTGCCCTGGAACTTAGCCTAGTGACCCTTCACTCGCCTCTCTGGTTCCTGCTCCATCTCCACTTGGATGGATCTTGTCCGTCTGCCTGCTTTAAGACAAGGCTCCTTCAGCCTATGGCTCCCTCTGTGTGGTGGTGGAGGATGGTACAAAAGCTCTCCCATCTCTCCATCCCCCAGTTATAGTGTCTGCATCAGAAAGCCGTTCCTTCATCCCTTCCCTCTGTGGAAGCATTTGGAGGTATGTGCCTTTTGGTGGTGGTTGGTGGGGCTCTTACTTGAAAGCAGGCGGAGTACTTTTTACCATTTTATATCTTCAAAGGAAGTTCACAAGGCCCTGCCTGGAGTCAGGGCTGGATAAGGATGAAGGAGGGGCAGCAATAGTCCAAATATCTCCCCCTGCAACTAAGGCAGCCTAGTTCTGTGCTGTCCTCTCTGTCACCCTTGTTCTGGTTCTCTACTGTCCAAAGGTAGCCTGATGCCTCCCTGATCAGCCGCATAGGGAGCTGAGGGCTAGCAAAGATTGTTGGAGCAGAGCGTGGAAGCAGAGGGGAGGGTGAGGGATATCTGGCCGCTAGAAGGCACAAAATAGGGAGTGTGCTGAATGGGAGGATTTGTGATTGGGATTGACCCAAAGGGGCGGGGGTAATGGGAGCAGTGCGACCAAATATCACGGAACGGGGATGGGGCCGAGACTGACTCAGGGATGAGGCAGGGTCTGAGAAAATTGACCCAAAGGGACTAGACCAAGGGAGGGGGAGAAACAGAGGTGAGCTGTTGGCCCGGGAAGGGGGCTGGGAAAGCAAATTAGAGGGCAGGTCCGAGTCCTCTCCTCGGGAGGTGGGGGTGTGTGTCCATATAAGGCGAGCCTGCGACCCCCGCTCTCCCGGAGGGCGGGCAGGGGCTCCGCATCCCTAGCACCCCCCGCACATGGATGCGCACGTCGCTTTCTCGGGCTTCCCGGCCCTGCCCTCGGTCTCGCCGTCGGGGCCGCAGCCGTCGCCGCTGCTAGCCGTCGCCGAGCCGGGACACGAGCCCGAGGAGGTGGCGAGCGGCGGGGACGTGGAGCCCACGGCCGCATCGGGCCCGGGGAGGAGGCGCCGGCGGCCGCTGCAGCGCGGGAAGCCTCCCTACTCGTACATCGCGCTCATCGCCATGGCCCTGGCGCACGCCCCCGGCCGCCGCCTCACGCTGGCCGCCATCTACCGCTTCATCACCGAGCGCTTCGCCTTCTACCGCGACAGCCCGCGCAAGTGGCAGAACAGCATCCGCCACAACCTCACCCTCAACGACTGCTTCGTCAAGGTGCCGCGCGAGCCGGGCAACCCGGGCAAGGGCAACTACTGGACGCTCGACCCCGCCGCCGCCGACATGTTCGACAACGGCAGCTTCCTGCGGCGCCGCAAGCGCTTCAAGCGC